AGGAATGCTGAGTGTTTATTTGCTGTGACTGGTGGAGAGATTACCTTGCGAGGCAGACAGTTTCAAGGCGAGACTTGGGCTCAAATGCTGATCTGCTGCTTAAATGATGATTTGGGTTTTTAACCCATCTGGAGCGCGTGTGATTAGGAGAAGCCTTTCTGTTTCAGTGATAACTGAAAAAAAAAACCCACGTTGTCCTTTTCCCCATGCTGACTTTTGCTGCTTGTCATCTCCAACTTCAAAGCTTTATGTTTCTGTGATCTTTGGATTTATAGAGGACTCTGAGGAGTTCGTAAAAACTCAATTATCTTAACCTGTAAAGCATTGTGAGTTATTTACAGTAACAATTTAATAGTTTGCCCCTAATTTATTGTGGTTTACTACATACCGTAATTAACTTACTTGATAAAAGGAACTTTGCGATGAAAATTCATCTGTTTCCCATCACTGTGTCAGCTGGCCCAAGAAAAAATATCACCGAGTTTGTCTCTCTTGCCTCTTACTGAGTATTGAGTCCACAAAAGAAACCAGTTCTGACTCCTAGTGGTGCTTCTCCTTAGCTGTGCGTCTTAGAGAGCTTTACTGATAAATACCTTTAGTTCTCTGAAGGAATGAAAAAGGAGAGGATTTTACCAGGTACTGACGGTTGTGTTTTATTGTTTATGTTGTATTACCTTGTGTATGTTATGTTAAATTAACAGAGTGTTTTCACTAGCGTCAGATTGTAGATGTTGGAGCTTTAACCAGTTTACATGGAATGAGGTTTTGCTGATTCTTTTCTTTTGGGTTCTCTCTCTTTATCTCTGTGTCTCTACATATGTATGCACACAGAGAGGGTAATTAAAATTGTATTTGGGACCCCACTTTTCTTAGGTACTCTTTGCAGCTTTATTATCTAATTTTGGTGTGTACTGAAATGTCATTAATGTCCGAGGCAAAAAAAGAAAATTCCCCCTCAAATCCCCAAGTCAAGCCAATGATTGCTTGTCCTCCTTCCCACTAGACTCAACAGTTTCCTGAGCGCGGCAGTAACAGATCTGCAGAAATCCCCAGGTCAAAAGTGAAGCCAAGAGCCTACTCCGCCTACGTGATTAACCCTGCCCCTGAGCTACGAGTAAGTATCTGTCTGAAAGAGCAGGATGTTTGCAATGAAATACAAATCCACTATGTTTTCTGAGAGCTGAAGCATCTCCTCTACCTCCGCGTTTTCTCTGATGTGACACAGTTTCATCGGGACTATGTGAAGGGAGTGTAATAGAGACGATAGTGGCATAAAAAGGTTGAGACATGAGATCCAGCCCAAAGGCCAGGCACTCCTAACCTGTGTTCCTGGGAGTGCCGTGCTTCGCCCAAGTTCTCCCTACATCCCTTCAACACTGCCCGGGATCTCGTCCCTGCCCCTGCCTATGGCAACTCCAAATCCATTATCTGAGCTTGGCACCGTGTGTTTTCCCGCCAGCCATCAGAGATGACTTGTGCAAATGGAATTGCGCTGCTTTTGAAGGGTAACGTCACTGAGTGAGCTGATACCGCCGCGAGCAGAGACCTTCCATGGTTAAGCCTGTTAAAAGCAAGCTTGTAACGAACAAAACAACAGTTATGCAACAGCGCGATTACTGACAGACTGCCGAAAAGGGAAGTAAATACCTCCCTTGCCTGTGTTTTAAGGCAGGATATAGGATGTGTTCTCTACGCTGCAGGATGGAAACTAGTGGGTTTTCTTTTTCATGACTCATTGCCTTATCTAATGAACACAAAAGTCAAAAGGGCATCTTTTGGGATCTAGACTGGGATCATTTAGAGGCTTTGCATGTAGCAAAGGACACCCAAACACAAGGGACACGGTGAGGAGGGATTCATGTGTATTCTGGTGACCGAGACCATCGTGTGGGTGGGGGAGAGCTGGGCTCCAGTCCCTTACTGTTTTGAGTCGCCTCAGTTCCAGAGGAAAGCTCCCGCCTCTGGGCTGATAAAGTTACTCTCTAAGAAAATTAAGAATCCTTCTTGTTTTAGACAGATTCACACCTCTCACTTGAGAAGTTCTGTACACAAGACCCCAAAGGCCCAGGAGACAAGGCCTTCGCTGGAACGAGGGTCCAGCCTGTGCAAGGTGAGCTCTGTCAACTCCTGTCTCCTGTGTGTCCTCTCTACCAGCTGCTTTTGTTCCCCAGGGAAAAAATCCCGCTGTATCTTCTGAAACTGCCTCCATTTCCCCACAAAGGGCTTAGCGTTCGCCTGCCATTCCACTTGACCCGCAGATTGCTGAAGGCGCAGATACCAGGGCTGGAAAATAATTGCTGCTGCTCAGAAACAGAGCGCGGTGTTGTGCAAACACTTGTGGAAGTTTACAGTGAGGCAGAGCATAGGGAGAAGATGCATAGAAAGCAGAATGTCTCCTAAACATCTGGGGTTGGACTTGCTATATGAGGAAGTGATAGCAAAGAAAGGAGAAAAGCTTAGGTCAGTTTATGATTATTTGTTTTTCAAACTTGTGTCTAAATCTAGATGGTTATGTACTCTTTGTCATATCATGGTAAGTGCTGGACTTTCCTGAGTGGAACCACAAAATAGCAATACAGCTTTGTACTCGATTTGCCTTTTAATTTATGTATTTATAAATACAATAGTATAAGTACGTATTTCTGTGACTGCATATTTATGATATAGGTTTCAGCTCTGCTTGAAAACAGTCAATTCTGTATTGTAGCTTTCAGTTAGAAAACTGTTGTGGGTTAAATGAAATGTTTCATTTGATCCGATTCAGTATGAAAAGTGATTGACAATATTAATATAAGGTATCTAGTAATACTAGAAAATGATACATTAATATTCATTATAATAGCCCCATAAAATATTAACAAATGTTAACAAATATTCATATTGAAAATACCTTCTATCTACCTGGTATTAACAGAGGAGATAACTAAGTCCAAGTAGAGAATTGTTAGGGACCGGCAGCTGTGGTTTTACCAGCTCTGGGAGGGCTGCGGTTATTGCTTTAGTTGCATTTCCCTTTCATGAGTTTGGCAGGAAGCGTTTTCTGACTGTGGAAATAAGATATGGAAGTGGCAGGAGGAAACACATGGTAAATTTTAAGAAGTTTGTGCCGGGAACCTTTGATTAAATTAGAAGTGGTCAGTCGACATAATATACGTCATGCAATCATCTCTGGCTCTTAAAATGTCGCTTGCTGTTATCTTAATGTCTGTTTAAGCTGCAGCAGCTACAGCTCGGCAGGCGTTACCCGGACGCTGCCTGGCGGTGTGATCACGGCAGGGTATCCACAGACACACAGAGCGTCTCTGTAGCGCTCCGGTGAACGTAGGCAGATAGCCTGCCTGTGAAAGGAGTGCAAAAATAGAAACATCTGAATCTGGAATCAAAATATACTGTTTAGTATTATAAATGAGATCTGTTTCGCATAAAAGCTGTTATATATAAACTTGCCGATCCATTGGATCTCAAGCCACTGGATAGGTCAAATCTTACTGTTTACCAAAACCAGGCGGGGGCAGCAGTGGGAAGGAGCGATCGATGTATTTAGTCAGCTGACGAATTCAGATTTGAATCAGGAGTTGCCGGGCTGAGCCTCTCTTCCCCCGCCATAAGGACGCTTGTGGGTACGATTCGAACGCGTGGCTATAGCAAGTGCTTCCCTGGGACACTTAGAAATCTCTATAGAGTTGTTTTATAATTCAGCGCATTCGTAACCGAGCTGTGTTACTGACATCTTTAGTATTTGCACATGCTTTGCAGACAGTCGCTATCGCCGGCAATCCAAAAGAACTTGTGTAGCTGTTGCTTCAGTAACCTGTACGGCGCAGGCGGCTAGTCGTTTGGGTTTCTCATGGAACGCGAGCAAAGAGTGGCCGTGCTAGTTGGTGAGGACGACTGGGCTGAGGGTGCAGTCTGCTCTCAGTGTGTTCAGAACCGTAACAGTTTAATGTCTATTAAACGTGCCTGGAGTGCTAGTGGTGAATCGGGCATCACGCAGAATCTAAACCTAGCCGCCCCTCGCCTCCCACCTCGCTGAGGAGGGTTAGAACGCAAGGGGGTTTCTTTTCTGCCAAAACTACTTTGCTCCTTAACG